CTATAAATTTCCACGTGATAAGACACTTCTTTGAGCGATTATTTGAGACCAGCTGAAAAAGAGCTATATAGCTCAGTGAGCCTTACCTGGTAAAATAAAAGTAGTCGTAATCTGTATTTTAATTTTGTACTGTAAGTCACAAATTTCACCAAAATCAAGAAGTGAAATCCATACGTAAATCTGATGGGGGGTTATTCTGTTCAGTGTCACTCCACTCGTTTTCACAGTTGTTACCGGGTTTTGTTTGGCATGACGTCTGAGGCTTCACTCCGATTCCTCACAAAGCTCTGAGCACGTCGAATGAAACGTCAGACATAATGCCGAACAACACGCGGTAACAACTCAAGAAGCACAACGGGGATCAGGTATCGGCGACCGGGCTTCAACCATCAACTCACGACACTTGAGAATCCGGTTGGATCACGGGAAGCTATCACCAGGATTTTAACCAATGATCTCAGCCAAGCCGGCTTAGAGCTCTAATCTCTTGAGCCACCCAGCCATCTGTCGCACCGGTGCATTATAAGTACTTTATCTCACTTTAATGATTAACCTAATAAGCACAAGGAAGTCAGGCACTGAAAGAGCATACTAATGGCTCAATATCCGCTATACGTACAATAAAGTATGTAAAAGTGCTGCCCTGTAAATTTCTGCTCACGTCAAGGCCAGTGGAAGAGCCTCCACTTGAAGGGGCTCTTCGTAGCCCCACATAAACTGAAATATTTTGATCAAACAACAATAAATTGCAAACAGAAAAAGGCCAAATTACATCCACCCATACGATTATATATATACACGTTTAAAATACTATAATGCATGCCTAATCTAGTTACAGACATGCATGCACCGTTCCTCGCCAAAATGAGAATGCTGGAAAGTACTTGAGACCACACACCAGAATGTGTCAATGTTGCACAAGCTGTGCACGCTGTGTGATCTATACAAATGTCAAAACACGGCGCGATGAAATTTCCCCTGGCCTCTGCCTAGGAAAGTCACTAAAAAATTTGCACACGAACGACGCATTCACGCAAGCACCCGATGCTCCGTTTTGGAGTTTTAAAATGAAACATCTTTGAATTGTATTATGTTTGGAACGAGATAATGTTATTTATTTATTTATTAAACGCTAATATCATTTTACATCTGGAAGACTTAATTGAAAAAGACATTTCGTGTGAATTTCTCTCGTCGTTAAGTAGATGGCCTTGCTGGGGGTTCGGTTCGATGCGGACTTTCACCTGTCTGGGATTGCGGGATGGAGATACGTCGACATAGAGCTGCTGGCAGTGCGAGAAGATCGCCGTCTGCAGATCGATTCCAACGTGATCGAACGTCTGTCCCTGCGCCTCCGTCGTTCATGCAGGGGGCGCGTAGGTTTGCAGCGCCCCCTGCATGAAAACAACGGAAAGTGTAGCGTTCACCACAGATAGAGAAAGTTGTGCGCTTATATAAGAATATGAAACGTTAGATTGTACGGCAAGTTGTAGCATCATAGTCCGAGAGAATGCGCTACGGAATTTGACATCTTTGCTAAATATTAGCAGTGACCATTATATGACTTACATTTAAAAGGCGTTAAAACAAACTATTTTTTATTTTACCCTGTTAGGCCTACTGAGCAATGTAGCTCTTTTTCAGGAGCGACCTGGTCACAAATGATTGCTCAACGAAGCAGCTTATCATGTGGAAATGTATAGCAGCCAAATATTTTGAACGCGTTGTGTTGATTCTAAATGTGAAAGGAAACATCGAAGGATCCGGAGAAAAATCCACGCGACCACGGGGAGAGAGACATACACACTCCGAATATACAGGCATCGTCAGGGTTGGGATTGAATCCACGACCTCCTGTATACCAGGTAAGATAGTTAACATCTCACCACCAATAGTGAGACAACGAGATGACAGGCTGATACTCACTCATTTCTTCCACGTGTTTCACCATGTAGAGACGCACAAGAGGTCCCGGGCACTCTCGTCGTACGAATTTGCCCGTGTCTTGCTGTAAGCGCTGTGACGGCAGTGCCTTAGTGTCCGTTTCTGGTGAATTAAATCTCTGTTTTACACACTGTGGAAGTGTAACTTTACCTCCTTCAACCTGTGATGTAAAAATGCGTGTGCGCTCGACCTCTTCCCTGTAACGTCTGATTAGAATGCCTCTGCCTGCAGCTCACCTGTTATTTGCATGTGTGAGTCTACCTCTCTTCCTCGTTAACTGTGTGTAGAGTGTGCGTCTCTCTGTGCCTGCCTCTCTCACCTGTGATTTGAATCTACCTGTGTTTACGTCTTCTCTGTCGCTTCCTCTCTCACGTGCGAAGAGAATGCACCTCTCCCCTCCCTCTGCCTCCGCGTCGCTCCAAACTCCCTCCCCGTATGATTTGAATGTCTCTCCGTCTCCCCGCCCTCTCTAACTCAATCTCGCAGGGGAATTCCCCGGGCAAGGCTCTAAAAGCCACAAAGCACAAAGGGGCGGGGGAGAGCAGCGCCCGCCATAGCCCCGCAGGCTCACAGCAAACACGCGTGGCCATGTATGTGGTGTAATAGCAGCAGCAGCAGGGCAGCGCATGCATGCGCCTAGGCGTATGTCCACAGTTTCTATATATGCACAGGTTGGGATGTTGCCATGGTGTAATGGTTAGCTCAATGGACTTGTAATCTAGAGGTCGGCGTTTCGAATTTCATGTCCCTGCGTGGCAGTTGAAACAATGGGGTAAGTTTCTTAAAAGCTCCCTTTCTCTGACCACCCAGCAGCAGTATACAATTGGTAGACTCTATAACAATAGTACAGCCTTCTGTAAGTCTGCATACATGTACGTGTTATGTCGATCTATTCACATCTCTATGTAAGGAGGGTAGATGTATAGCAGTTATGGGTAGTGGGATTTACCCACTTTATATCAGCTAAAAGGTCAATTGAAAACACGACATCACATTTATATTTAGCTCCCTTCATAATCTCCACAGACCTAGGTTTGACAACTACAAAAAAACATGTATATATTTGAACCTATCAGTTTTAGGAAGCCCACAATTAGAAAAGTAGCTTTGCTTCTCAAACATGATGTCATATTTCAATACAGCACACTAAAAAATTCCAGGTGAAACATTTCCCCGGCTCAGTTTCAAAAGTAAACAAATAAAAAAATATATAGACTCTCAGTTTTGGAAAGGGACCAAAAATCGATAACTCTGTTAATGGATTGAAAAAATCTGATGTCACATTTAAATTCGGCACCCGTTTAAAAAAGTTGCCCTCCAATTTCCAATATTTTAGTTGAGGATATTTCTATTTACAACATCGACTTGGCTACATTTTTGCCACGTTTTTTTTGCCCTTCGAGAACAACGTTAAAAATTACATCATTCACCTTTTCAATCACGACTAAGGTATGTAGAAATGATGCCAATGACGTAACTATGTATGGCAACTGTACATATTTTCATTCAAGCAAAATATGTACAATATTTTACATTTACATTTGTGGATTTGCTCTCCAACACACAGGTGTGCTGCACTAGTAACGAATTGGCACGTTCTGTTTATGTGACAAACCTTACTGATTGGCTGTCGGGTGGTGGCGGGTTTAACGACACATTGATATTTACGCGATCCAACCCAAAAAGAAACTCTATTATGGATGATATTGGTCGCGAAAGCCTACGTATCTATAGGCTAACACAAATGGACACGCACTCACAGAGAGATGTATTGACTCACATATTCTCACTGAGAAACTGAAATGCGCTGGCAGTTGCTTCATCATCAGCACTTTTTAGAGAGACCTATTTACTCGGAGATGCATGGACTCACAGATACCCGTAGACTCGCATAGAAACCTATACTCACAGAGATCCAGAGACTTATATAAGCTTCATAAGATGCAGAAACCCATAGACTCACGCAGATACAACAAAGATTCACACAGATATGCACTCATAGAGATCTGCAAAGTATAAAAAGACCATAGGCTCCCACAGAGACCCATAGACTCATGTAGAAATTCAGACTCACATCGTGACCCACAGACTCACAGAGTAACCTACAGACTCACATAGTAACCCACAGACTCACATAGTGACCCACAGACTCACATAGTAACCCACAGACTCACACAGTAACCCACAGACTCACAGTGACCCACAGACTCACATAGTAACCCACAGACTCACACAGTAACCCACAGACTCACATAGTAACCCACAGACTCACATAGTAACCCAGACTCACATAGTGACCCACAGACTCACATAGTGACCCAGACTCACATAGTAACCCACAGTCTCACATAGTGACCCACAGACTCACATAGTGACCCACAGACTCACATAGTAACCCACAGACTCACATAGTGACCCACAGACTCACATAGTAACCCACAGACTCACACAGTAACCCACAGACTCACAGTGACCCACAGATTCACATAGTAACCCACAGACTCACACAGTAACCCACAGACTCACATAGTAACCCACAGACTCACATAGTAACCCAGACTCACATAGTGACCCACAGTCTCACATAGTGACCCACAGACTCACATAGTGACCCACAGACTCACATAGTAACCCACAGACTCACACAGTGACCCACAGACTCACATAGTAACCCACAGACTCACATAGAGACCCACAGACTCACATAGTGACCCACAGACTCACATAGTAACCCACAGACTCACATAGTAACCCACAGACACACATAGTAACCCGCAGACTCGCATAGTAACCCGCAGACTCACATAGTAACCCACAGACACACATAGTAACCCGCAGACTCACATAGTAACCCGCAGACTCACATAGCAACCCACAGACTCACATAGTAACCCACAGACTCACATAGTAACCCACATACTCACACAGTGACCCACAGACTCACATAGTGACCCACAGACTTACATAGTAACCCACAGACTCACATAGTGATCCACAGACTTACATAGTAACCCACAGACTCACACAGTGACCCACAGACTCACATAGTAACTCACAGTGGTTTCATCATCATTGCCTTCTCCACCAGACTGGCAAGTGCAGCCCACGTAGCTTCCCAGGAGAACTGGTCTGGCATCATTGTCGTCAATCATCATCCTCATGACCAGAAGTTTCCTGTCATTATTTGATACACCTGCATGTGCCACGTGAGACTGAAACACCCGGGGTGCAGTTTGTTGATTGTTCAAGTCTGGAGTCATGAGCCGCCTCTTCCAGTGAGGCTGAAACAGGCTGTGATGGGAGCAGTGATGAGGGTATAACATTTGCTTCACTCGGTGAGCGCCCCATGAGACTGTAGGCCTCTTTTTCTCTGCTCGTATTTCCTGTCCTAATGTATGCTCTGTTGTAATATGTATAAAGAGCGTTATAGCTCATCAGATTCCTCCAGTATAAATACATATTCTGATTCTGATAGGTGTACGTGTATACAGGATGTGTATCCATACAGGAATATGTATATTAACGTACATCCAAATATAGGTATGTGTACAGGTATGTGCCTAAACCAGTCCTGGACCTCCCCTAGGTCGACTCAGCCTCACATAAGTACCTGTTGCGATGAGTAAATAAGAAATGGGGGAGACAAAGGCGGCCGGGAGTGGTGCTGCATCGCCACCTACCCCAACCTGCGCCGTGCCAGCTTTCACAGGTGCTCACTCACAGCACTTGCCACAAGTTTGTTAAAGGCTATTAGGGGATCTTGATATGTGTTCGTGTACATTTGCAGGTATAGTATACGTATGCTTGTATATATGTATACAGGTATTCATACAGGTATATATGTGAATACATACACGTCTATGTGTGTGTGTTTATATGTGTGTGTGTGTTTATATGTGTGTGTGTGTTTATATATGTGTGGCATTTCCTGGTTTCCGTTCCATCCTCATCTATGCAAATAGTTACCGCATGCAAATTCTGTGGCGGCTAAAAATCACTTCTTTCAAAAGGTCCTCTTTACCCTTTTAGCCTCGCCATAATCTCTAATCTCCTCGACCAGCCAGTGTGAGCACTCATTAGGCACAAACTACAAAGACAACCCGTATAGGCATAAAGACTGTTGGGGCAAGTGCTGTTAGCGAGCAGCACCTATGAAGGCCGGCACGGCACACGAGTGGGTGGGTGGGCACGTGGCCAGCACCACGCCCAGCCGCTTTTGTCTCCCCAGTGGCGATCTTTGCACATCACACCAGGTACTCATTTAAGGCTGAGCTGACCTTGGGGAAGCCCAGGATCCATTCAGAAAATCGCCACTGGTGTTGGCCGTGAGAGGGAATACGAACTCGGGTAGCCAGGTTCGGAGCGCAGCGCAGCGCTCTCTGTTGCACTACCACTCCCCACACACATGACCTGCCCCCCGACCGCATTAAACCTTACATTGCCAGTCCACTCTGACCAGCTTCGTGAAGTATGGTCGAACAAGCTCCTTGACCTACAATGATGTGGGGGAAGACCTTCATCCAGCAGTGGTTTGGAAAAGGGCTTAAATAAACATGATGTGATATCTCAACCGCACATGATGGCGGCGCACACAGTTGCAGAAGCGCAGTGTCTACCCGGTCAGTGCCTTGTATCGTTGTTTATGTACGCATTGTGTCTTGTTTTGTGTACATTTTGTCGGGCGAGTAACACCTTTAGCCGGCACGATCTCCATAAGATCGGACTATGTTACGAACGGAGTGTTACAAGCGAGTTCTCCGTCTTCACAAGATTCCGGTGGCGTTGGCGAGAAGCCCCGGCTCTCCCTGGATAATCATCCCGGCGGGGAGGAGGCGACGGCGGCGTAGGGAGAGAAGGCAGAAGCGAGGCTGCAGGGCCGGTGCGCTAGCCAGGCTATGGAGGCAGCCACTCAAACCACCGCTACCCAGCCTATTTCTCACGAATGCAAGATCCCTCGCGAACAAAATGGATGAACTGAGGCTACAGACTACAGCGAACAACGTAGTGAAGGACAGCTGCATTCTGCTCTTCACAGAAACCTGGCTTCATTCATCCATCCCGGAACTCTGCTATTGAGCTAGCAGGCTACACAGCACAGCACCATGAAAGAACAGTAGACTCCGGTAAGAGCAGAGGAGGGGGGCTCCGTGTGTACGTGAATAACAGCTGGTGTACTAACACAGTGACTGTAGACAGCCACTGCTCACCAGATCTGGAGTATGTGACTGTTAAATGCAGTCTCATTTACCTCCCAAGAGAGTTTACTGTGGTCATGATAACTGCTGTTTACATCCCACCAGATGCTAATGCTAACTCAGCTATTGGACTTTTACATGGCAGCATTAGCATTCAGCAGAGCAAGTATCCTAACGCTGTGCAGATTATAGCAGGGGATTTCAACCATGCAGACTTAAAGGCAGCACTCCCTAAATTCCACCAGCATGTTAAGTGTGCTACTAGGGGAACTAAGAATCTGGACAAGGTCTACACCAACATCAAACTAGGCTACAGGGTTAGACCACTACCACACCTGGGCCAGTCTGACCATTTGTCCCTGCTTTTGATCCCTGCATACGCCCCCATCAAGAAAACGGCTCCTACCATCACAAAAACTGTCGCCACCTGGTCTGAGGGTGCCACCCAACAGCTGCAGGACTGCTTTGATAGGACCAACTGGGGGGTCTTCGAACATCAGGACCTGGAGGTGTTCACAGTGTATTGTGCTACATTAAAAACTGCATAGACACTGTCACTGTGGACAAACACATTCGGGTCTACTCCAACCAGAAGCCCTGGATGACCGGGGAGGTCCAGCAGCGGCTGAAGGAGAGGAACATCGCCTTCAAATTCCGAGGCAAAGCTCTCTACAGCACAGCTCGAGCTAACCTGAAGAGAGGCATCCGTGAGGCCAAAGCAGACTACAGGAGGAGGATTGAGGAACGCCTGGACAGTAACGACAGCAGGCAGGTGTGGCAGGGAGTCCAGCACCTCATCAACTACGGGGCCAACCTCTGAGCTGCTGATGGTGACACCGCTCTGGCAGAGGAGTTGAACCTCTTCTTTGCCCGCTTTGAGGTGACACCACCAGGGACAGCATCACCAAACCCCACGGTCCACAGCAGCTTGAACCTGACAGTAGAGGAGCATGAGGTGAGGCGTACGCTGCGGGCCGTCAACCCGAGGAAGGCTGCGGGACCTGATGGCGTCCCGGGACGTGTGCTGAGGGACTGTGCTGACGAGCTGGCTGGAGTCTTCACAAGGATTTTTAACCTGTCTCTGGAACAGTCCACGGTACCACCCTGCCTAAAGTCCTCCACCATAGTCCCCCTGCCGAAAAAAACCCACATTTCCAGCCTCAACAACTATCGGCCAGTAGCACTGACGCTAGTGGTGATGAAGTGCTTTGAAAAACTAGTCCGGAGTCACATCATTGCAACATTGCCCCGAAGCCTTGACCCCCACCAGTTTGTCTACAGAGGGAGCCGATCCACGGAGGATGCCGTGGCCACAGCACTACATGCTGCAGTGTCACACCAGGAGCGGCAGGGGAGCTATGTGCGGATGCTCTTCGTGGATTACAGGTCTGCGTTCAACACTGTCCTGCCACACAAACTGGTGGTAAAAATGGGCGACCTGGGGCTTCCACATTCCACCTGCATGTGGATACATAGCTTCCTCTCGGGCCGCAGACAGAGGGTCAGAGTGGGCCGTCATACATCCACAGCCCTGAGCCTCAGTACTGGCTCCCCCCAGGGCTGTGTACTGAGCCCCCTGCTCTACTCCCTCTACACACATGACTGTGCCCCTGTCCACCATAGTAACAGCATTGTGAAGTTTGCTGATGACACCACAGTGGTGGGGCACATCTCTGGGGGGGATGAGTCTGCCTACAGGGACAAGGTGGAGCGGCTGACAGCATGGTGCAGGGGCAACAACCTGTTCCTTAACACCGCAAAGACCAAGGAGCTCATAATAGACTACAGGAGAAAGAAAACGGACACTCCACCACTAACCATCAACAGGGACTGTGTGGAGAGGGTGGCAGACTTCCGCTTCCTGGGAGTCCACATTGGGGAGGACCTGACCTGGAGCGCCAACACCTCTGAGCTACTGAAAAAGGCCCAGCAGAGACTTTACTTCCTGAGAATACTCAGGAAGAATAACATCACACAGAAACTGCTGGTGTCCTTCTACCAAGCTTCCATCGAGAGCATTCTTACATACTGCATCTGTGTTTGGTACACCAGCTGCACAGTGGCTCAGAGGAAAGCGCTGCAGAGGGTCATCAACACGGCCCAAAAAATCGCCGGGTGCTCTCTCCCCACATTGGAAGAACTACACAATTCCCGTTGCATCGAAAAAGCGAAGAACATTATATAGGACTCTTCTCACCCTGGACACTCTCTGTTTGAGCTGTTGCCATCAGGCAGACGATTCAGATCAGTCAAAACAAGGACAAACAGATTCAAACACAGCTTTTATCCTACAGCAATTACCACACTCAATACTGCTAATTAATTACTAAGTAATACTGTATACAATTGACTGTAAAATAAGGATGTGCAATGATAAAATATACTTTTATGTGGGTATACATGGGCAGTTTTAATATATAAAATTTATTGATTATTTTTTATTATTTTTATTTCTTGTTTTATTTAAATTTATGAATGACGTACTGACTGGTGAGCACTTTAAATTTCGTTGTACTGGTGACAATGACAATAAAGGATCTATCTATCTATGAGGCGTCCGTAGCTAGGGTATGGCGAATCAGAGCGACCGCCCTAGGCCCCGCCCTTTGGGGGACCTCGCACTTTGACGTCACGGTGTCAGACTTCATCATTCCGATTTAGATTGAAGGCGTGGGGGGCGCACGGTGTCCATTGCCCCGGGCCCCGCACCCCCCTATGGACAAAGATGCCCCGGATAGCCAAAACAGACTGCTGGGGCAAGTACTGTTAGGGAGCACCTATGGACGGCAATACCAGCACATGCACTGCATGGTGGTATACGGTGAAACAACCCCTGTGGACCGATACAACATGGGGAGGAATGCATTCATCCAACGGTGGGATCGACCACGTTTCTGTACAATATAATAATTAATTATTCTTATGATGCGCTGTAGTGTGGTGGCCTTAGTGTGTGGGTGTGTCTATGTCAGGTTTGTTTGAATAGACGCATTTGTGTAACACGGCGGGTTAAACACCCCCGTGTGCTTCCTAGAAACGCGAGAGTGAACAATGCACAAGGTTTCGGTTGTGTTTTTCTAACTCGTTTAAGCAGTGCTCACAAATCTGATCAGCTCTAAGCTGCTTTTTGCCATGCACCCATATCCTGGTATGCGGGTTATTTTAGATGACAAGGAGCTATGGTAGTTCGTACGATGAAGTTGGTGAAATGCAGAGTTGGATTGCCAGCCACAGCTAACACTACATTTCCCCACAAACGATCCTTATGACCATCCAGTATTGGATTTAATATCCACAGAATCACAAAAATACCCATAGGCTGACATACCGAACTATGGAATGACTGTTACATAGATATCCATAAACCCACATAGAAACCCATACATTCCTCATATAATAGACCCTTAGATGAATATAGAGATCCACAGGATTACATAGAGGATCAACGACTTAGAGGCCTATAAACCTAATAAACTCATGACCAGTATGGAAAAGTACGGTCAAGTTTCAATTTTAAAATTGAATTTTGTTTAACCAAGTGAGAATGCAAAAGACCAGGGTAAGTCTCATTTGCTAGTGACCTGCATGGGTCACCGAAACGACGGAAGAAAAACTAAATACGGTACAGCGATGAAGCAAATATAAATGAGAACATTTAAACAATCCCTATAGCCCACTGCAAAGAGAGGCCTTCATCCAGCAGTGGACTGACAAAGTGCTGTACATTATCTGCAATATAATTAGAAAAATACAAGTCTTGTAAATTTCCAGCTTACATACCCAATGTTCAGTATTCACACACTATTCACGATGAATTAAAGCAATTATCTACAGGACTGTATTTTTACATATAAATAGCACATATAGTTCATCAGCCTATTTATTGGCTTTCCAAAGCAATATTATGCAACAGCATTTGCTTAACCAAGCAAATTCTGGACCGGTTTTGACCTTCTGGGTCTCATCTTGATCAGAGTTAAGCAAAGTGTTATTAATCTTTGTTTTTTTTTCCAGTAAAGTCACGTAGAAATAAGAAAAAATAAAATGACATAATATACTTATTTCTACGTGACTTTACCCCAAAAAAAGATTAATTCCTGCAGTCACGAAAGCACCAAATCTAGTTTCAAAGTGTTATTTTCAAGATTTACCTTTCCAAG